CTGGGCCAGTTGCTCTATGACTGATAGCATGCCAGCTTTTGGGCTTTCAGGACAGGGTCCAGGGCCAAGGGCTGCCACCCTTGCCTCAGCATGACCTTCTGCAGCACACAGGCCGGGCAAGTCTGGACTGGCATGCCCCAGAATTCTCCAGTTGGAATTTCACCCATGACACCCCTGATAATGGGGAGAGTCCTCCTGCTGTTCTGTACCCTATTTAGCCAGTTTCTGCCTCGTTTATAACACACAGCACGGCCCACAGTTGTTATCACACACACCCACACACACATGCACATGATCAAGCAAAAATCACTATGCAGCTGGGTATTCACAAGGAAAACCAGCTGTGCAGAAGAATTCACTGTTTTTCACGACCCCTGACTTGGCAAATCCCCCCTGGGCAGGGACACCCTCTCACCTTGTTGCACTCTTCTGCATGGAGACCCACATACTTAAACACAATTCCATTACCCTCTTTTCTGGTGTCTGCTGCAGGTGATGGACCCCTACATCAGCTCCACCATCCCAAGCATAGGTTCAGAGAAGCCAAATATACTACATAGGGTGGAGGTGTTCCTCCTATGGAAACCTCTGCTGTGGGGTCTGGATTTGCCTGAGGGGGTGTAACTGCATGTGTTGTGGTTAAGACAGAGACTGTGGGCCTGGCTGCCTGTGTTCCCATCTTGGGAACTAGCTCCATGAATGTGAAAGAGTTCACTGTGCCTCTATTTTATCATCAAGAAAATGGGGATAATGAAGGCGACATTGTCTTCCTAGGACAGTGAGGAGTGTGACGTGCCTGGTGGTGCTGTGTTGGTGTCCGTTACTGCCACCATCTGCATTCTTGGCCCTTCTACGAGTCTGTCCTGCCCTGAGTCGGCACGGCTGCGGGGCCCTCCGAGACTGGGCTTGTCTCCCTGGCCATGGGCAGCCTGTTCCATCTTCTTTTCCACGAGGCTTAAAGTGCTCATTATCTCTCTGTGATAGGTTCTGGGAGCGGCTCGGCTCATCCTGGCATGGGTCCCCCTAATTGCCAGTAAAAGGAGCTCTTGTGGAGGATTCGGTGGTGTTTGAGTGCTGAAAACAGTCCACTGGAAGGCTGATTGTTTGTGATCAGGCTTCTCAGAACCTTGGCTCTCAGCAACCTGGGGGCAGGGGCTGAGCGATGGCAGAGCTGGGGAGGAGATTGCCCGGGAGTCAGGGAGGAAGGGGAGATCTTTTTTCCATTGTTTAAAAGGACAACTTTCCCAGGTTATCCTGAGAGGAGGCAATGCTCAGAGAAAAGCCGCAGTCACCAAGGCCAACCGTGTAACTGCAAACCAGAGAGTGTCCCTAAGAAGCCAGCAAGGCTTTGATGGAGAGCTCTCGGGGCCTGGCCAGCTGGCCCACACTGACAGTTAATGAATGATTTAGGTCCCAAGGATAGGATGAGTGTTGAATGGGCAGGAGGACCCACCAAAAAGTGAAGTCAGGGTTCCCACCACTGAGGGGATGACATCACTTGGGGAACAGGGTGCTAAATGACTGTTTCCCAAAGGGGGTTCCATGGAACCTTAGTTCTGCAAAATTTTCTGTGGAATAAAAAGGAAGTGTAGATAGATTAAGTTTCCAGCCAAATAAAGGTTGAGAAATAATTCATGCTATACTTCTACCTACCTGAAGAGTCAATATCTATCAAAGACGAGTGAAGACACTGAAAGGTTCTGCAATAAAAACTTAGTATCTTTTTTTGCACTCAGGGGCATCTGACCACTGAGCCACATCCCCAGCCCTACTTTGTATTTTATTTAGAGACAGGGCCTCACTGAGTTGCCAACAGCACCTCGCTTTTGCTGAGGCTGGCTTTGAACACATGGTCCTCCTGCTTTAGCCCCCAGAGCCACTGGGACTACAGGCGTGGGCCACGGCACTTGGTAAAACTTGATATTTGAACAATTCATTTCACGTTAACCTCTTAACCATCTTTCAACTCAGTGTGTTCCAAACATTTGATTAGGGAGCCTTTCGAACTCCCCCTACCCCTAAAGGTCTTTCAAACATCCAGCAAAATGAGGGCCATGTTTCTAAAAGAATATTATGGACCATTCTGCCACACTAGATGTAAACCACCATGCTCCCTGCCAGTGGCCCCCCACCTCCAGGTGGTTCTGATGCACACCAACATTTGGGTTTCTAGATCACCCCAGGGAGCTCTGTGGGGAACTGGCAGGAAGGGAGTGAGCCCCCCCACCCGCAGTGCGTGTGAGCTGCTGGGATCCTGCAGCTGGGGCCTGAACCTGGAGGCAGCTGCAGAGCCGCAAGTGGGGAGGCCTGAACTGCACCCTGGCAGGAAGAAAGGCTGTGCAGGGGTGCGGAGGGACCTCCCCTGGCGCTGCTCAGTCAGGGTGACTGTGTAACTGGTTTACACGGCAGTGTCTGTGTGTGGGAATGTATATATGTGTGTATAGTGTGTGTGTCTGTGTGTGTGAGCATGTGTGCATATCCTAGAGTGAGAACGATCCCAGTCACTCAGAACCTAAGGCTTCAGGCTGGTGGTGCTCCTTTTACCCCTGAAGCCCAGGAAAGTTAAGAGACTAGCCTGAGACCCAGGGGACCAGCAGGTGCTCTCTCCCAACAGCCCCTTTGCCATGCCAAGGCCACAACCCACCTCTGAGTCCTTATTACCTCCTGCCTTCCTCTGGGTGCTGAGCACTGGGCCCTTCCCCTGGGAGGCCGGGCCTCTCAACCATTTTTTAGGGCTTTTGTGTTCCTGTCCTCAGGTTAAGTAAAGGCCTGGTCCTCTAGCCAATTGCTCACCCTCTCTGGAAAGCAGTTCGTGCCCACCATGAGGGTCTGGGCCGTCCAGCAGTGTGCAGTGGGAGGCTGTCGGAGGGCAGCCTGCTTGTGAGCTCTGCCCGAGCTGGAGGAAGGTGAAGAGAATTCAAAACAACACTCCCTCCCATTACGAGGCTTCTTCGCCCAGGTGCGGGTCCCCGAGCCTGCCTCTGCTTCTTTCCTAGCAGGAGACAGTAAATACAGAACAGGTATATCCGTGCTCACCTTTCCTCTCCACCCCAGACTCGTCCAGTGGCCTGTTGGGCAGGCATCAGGGTGATGCTGGCCCTGGTCTAGTCAGGTGGGTAGCATCCACTCACATTCGGAGGCACCAGGAGTTAGGACTTAAACATATGACTTTTAGGGGGACACAGTTCAGCCCATAACAATTACTAAGGAGCACTTGTGGGGTCCCAGGTTGGTCCTGAGCAGGTCTAGGTGTGGGTGATATTGGAGACCATCAGCTCACCAGCCCTGCGGCCCCCCCGTACGCACTCTCCAGCCTGCTGTGCAAACCGAGGCCTTCCAGCCGCCTGGTGGCTGAGTCCTGCTGTGAGCCCTTTCCATATGCTGTTCCCTTTCTTCCCCTTCCCTCTGCTTGCCGGATCCAGGAATGCTTTCCTCTCCTGCTCAGGGGAGTCCTTCCCATGCTCCTTGGGAAAGCATTAGTCTGCTGCAGTGCCTGAGTCAGAGCACAGATCCCACTGTATTGTGATTTTTCATTACGTGTGTGTCATCACACACCATCTTTGTGGACAGGGCCTGGACTTCTCTACCTTTGTGTCTTTGGTGTCTGCCCAGGTTCAGGTCCAGAGCTCATCCAGTGTGTGAGCTAGTGGCCCTGAGAAATGGTGGGTCCAGGGCCAGTCCACTCAAGGTGGATATCAATAGAATCCAGTCCTACAGAAAGGTCCCCAAAATGAAGACTGGGCACTCTACCAGGAATCTAAGAAGGAGGTCATCACACACATAGAGGAGTGTACATATCGTACATGTACAATTCAGTGGACTCTGACAAACTGAACACACCCATGTAATGAGCACCAGATGAAGAAACAATGTAACCAATCCCCAGAAAGCCCCACCCCCTCCTTTCCATTGACCATTGGAGTTCTGTCACTGTAGGTGGGTGAGTGTGTCTTTCTTGAACTTCTCATGACTTGAAACATATACCCCAAACTCTTTTGGGTCTGGATTCTTTGGTCTCACATTTGTTTGTGGGATTTACTTATGTGGTTGCATGTTGTCTTAAAATTGTCTATTCTCACTGCTGTGTGAAATATTTCAGTCTGAATGAACCATGATTTGCTTAAACCTGACCGGCTGTTGATAGGTGTCTGGGTGGATTCCAGTTTGGAGCTGTTAGGGATAGCGCTTCTCGACCCTTTTATGTCTTTTGGGGAACATCCGTGCACATTTCCGTTGTGTCTATACCTGGGAGTGAATTCCTGGATCACAAGACAGCTTGAGTGGACACAGTACTGTCCTTACAGAGAGTGACCATGGAAACCAGACAGTCGGGGGAGGAGGGAGGAAGGATGTCAGGAACAGAGTCAGAGAGTTGGAGAATGTGTTGGGAAGATCATCAGCACAGGGCAGAGAAACCGAGTCACAGAAGCTGCATGAGCTGAGTGTCCTGTCTCTGGGGGGGGATCATGTAGGAACCTGGAGGATGAAGACGGCAGTTGGTTGACTTAGTGGGAAATTCAGTCACTGGTGCAGCCTCGTTTGGGCTTCTCAGGAGGTAGCCTTAACCCAGAAAATTTAGCCCCTCTGTGGACCCTCCACTGCCCCTGGCTACGTGGAGCCCCTGGCTGGCTGGAAGTGGTGATAGCTTATCAGTGGGCCATACAAGCTCCCGCTGGGTTCAGAGGCTGCAGGGAAAGCACCCTGAGACATGGGTCCCCTGTGCCTGGCTACAGCCTCCATGAAACCTTGTTGAAGTGAGGGTCTGTGCCTCCGCGGAGGCCTGCAGTTGCCAGCAGCGTTCTGGTTCTTAATGGTTCACCAGCTGGACACCCACTTAGGTGGCTCTCTCTAGCCTCCAGGCCACCTAGGGTGGCCAGCCATGGGGGACAGGAGACCTCTGCCACCCTCCCAGGCTCAGGCCTTGGGGAGGTCTTCTGCCCACTTGGTTTTTGTGTCCTGGCCAAACAAATAACGTCGGTCCCTTACTCCGTCTCTTCCAGAATGGCAGCAAGGACAGCACTCTGGACATGCTGGGCACAGACATCTGGGCTGCCAACACCTTTGATTCCTTCAGGTAACGTCCTCGTCCTCCTTTGTCTGCAGTGAGGGGCTCCGGCTGAGACCCCGGCTTACGTGCCCTCTGTCCTGCCTGGGCTCACAGGACGTCACTGCTGGTCGTCCCCTGATGGAGAAGTGGAGACAGATGCTGTGACGGAGAGGAGATGAAGGAGGGCGGAGTGGAGGTTCAAACAGAGAGAAAGGAGGGAGAGCGTCAAAGGGGAAGAGAGAAAGGGCGTCAGAAGCAGAGAATCCAGGGCAGGAGGGAAGACAGAAACAGCCTGGGAGAGGGACAGAGGGGACGGAGCAGACCAAGAGCCCGGGGAGGGGCATATGTGGATGACGGACAGTGAAGCTGCAGCCCCACCCCCACCCGAGGAGCCTGGGGAAGCTCCAGGAGTGAGTGGCTCCGACAGGAAGCTTCCCAATGGGCCCGAGGAGTTGGCCAAGGGAAGGTGTCCCTGAAGGGCTTGCTGGGGACGTCCTGCCTGGGGTCCACCTCTCCTGTGAGGGGTAATGGCATTGGGCCACAGATGACAGGGTTCCCTAGCTCATCGCTGCCCTCAGCGCCAGAGCTGCCCAGCTTCGGGCACCCCCCAGGCCCACCCTGGCAGGGGTGCTGACTTACCCACCAGGGACGCTCCCCTGGGATGGGAGGAACCCACGGAGCTGACCCCTGCTGGCCTCATCACGTCAGAGAAGCTTTGACACCATTTTAAGCCACTTATCAGAGGCTCTGGTGACAGGATTTTGCACCCCCACTTCTCTCTAGCATTCCTCAAATGTAGACTTGAAACGAACCCCGAGGTTGCAGGGGACCCCGTGGGGTGGGTACCAGGCCCACACTCCTGTTAGGGAACATGCATTTTCCTATGGCGGGGTTCAGCAGGCCAGGGCTGGGCACCTCAGGCTCTGTGCTGAGCGGGGGTCTGGCCCCTGCCCTCAGCGAATGGGTGTCTCCCTACTTGCACCCCTCTTATGGAGGACGCTGCCTCCTGGCTCAGCCTCCTGCCTGATCCTCAGTAACCGGGCTCCTTCCCCTGCCTCTCATTTCTCACCCTCCCTCGCCCTCTAGTGGTGCCACCTGGGACCTGCAGCCTGAAAAGCTGGACTTCACCCAGTTCCACCAGAAGGTCCGACACACGCCCAAGCAGCCACTGCCACACATCGACCGCGAAGGGTAAGGGTGGCCACGGGCTCCTCCAGTAGGGTTGGGTGGAGTGGGGGCAGGAGTGTCGGTGCCTGAGTGGGGACTTTGTCCTGCCGCATGAGGACACACAGGTGGTTAATGTCCTCGGTGCTCTCCCTGTCTGGCCCCAGAATAGCAGACTCTCTCCAGAATGCCTCCAACCCTCCCAGTCCCTCCAGCCCACAATGCCTGTCCTGACCGTCCACAGAGGCCCTATTGTCCCCAACTCCGTCCAGTGGGTCTTGAACTTGAGCGTGCGTCCGTATCACCTGGGGGCTTACTCAAACTGTGCTGGTCCCGTAGGTCTGAAGGGCGGTTGCTGGGAATTTGAATCTCTGACAGGTTCCCAGGGGGTGCTGCTGCGGCTGACCCCACCTTGGGAGCCACTGGAGTAGAGGCAGACTTCACACTGGTGCGTCTCCGCCACCCCTGCCCCCCCCTTCCCGCCCCCCTCAGCTCCATGCATCAGTGTGGCCTTCCTTTTAAAAGGTGGGCGCAGGGCCTGGGATGCCCTTGGGACACAAAGGTGTCTCCAGCCACCCAGTGGTGTGGGACAAATGTCTGTTCCTTCTAATTCTTATTTAAGTAAAATTGAGGTAATGTAAAATCAACCGTTTGAAAGTGTGCAGTTCAGTGGCATTTAGCATATTTACAGTGTTCTGCAGCCACCGCTCTGTCTAGTTCCAAAAGTTTTTCTTCACCTCAATATAAAACCTCATACCCATTAAGCAATCCCTCCTCATCCCGTCCCCACCCTTGCCCAGCCCCTGGCAACCACCAATGGGCTGTTTCGAGGAAGTGGCCTTTTCTGAATCAGTGGAATCCTATGAGGCCTGTTGTGTCTGACTTTTTTCACTCAGTGTCATGTTTTTGAGAATCATCTGCCCTGGAGCATGTATCAGACTTCATTCCTTTTCATGGCTGAATACTATTCCACCACATGCTATTTGTTTACCCATTCCCCTGCTGGTGGATATTCGGGTTGTCTCCACTCTTTTGCGGATAACACTGCTGGGAACATTCATGTCCAAGTGTCCGTTCAAGTCCCTGCTTTTTATTCTTCTGGCAGCTAACCTAGGAAGGGAATAGCTAGGTCATGTGGTAGTTCTACATTTAACTCTTTGAGGAGCTTCCAGAATTTTCCAAAGCAGTGGGATATTTTTCATTCTCACGAGCAATACACAAAGGCTCCAGCTGTTTCACATCCTTGTCCTCACTTATTTCTGCTTTGGGGGGACGTCTGTTTTCGGGAGAGAGGTGGCATTTCCCTGGGCAGCTTCAGTGTCTCCCATGAAGCTGTGGCTGGTGAAGCCAGTGGGGAAACTGAGGCCCAGGGGGGATCAGTAATGGCGTGACCTCGCAGAGTGCAGGCGCCATGGGCATGCTTTCTGGAGATTTTCAGAGTATCTGCATCCACTCAGACAGTAACCACTTCCATAACAGGAGACATTCGGCAGGAGTGATAAGAGACCACTCAGGCGGGAAGGTTCCCCTGTGCTGAGCGGACCCTCCTGAAGCCCGAGTAGCAGGCTGCACCTGCTCCCCCCGAGGCCTGAACTCCCCCTCCAGCTTCACCCACCCCCAGCAGCTGGCCAGAGCGGCTGACAGTGACCTGGACTCTCCCCAGGACACCTGGCTCTGGTGGAATTCTGTCACTCCCAGGCACGCAGGGAGTGTGGGGCGTCATCCTGTGGCCACCTTGTGGCCAGGCCAGGAACTTTGTCCCCCTCGGAGTCCTACCATGATGGGGATGGACTCCGCGAGTCCAGTCCCCGCAGCCTCCCTCAGCAGCAGGGTCCACTCGGTTGCCAAGGCTCCCACAGCCCGTGTTTCCATGGAGGGACAGGAATTGGAGCAGGCTGTTGCTGTGGAAACCCGTTGGCAGTGGTGACTCAGCCGCTCTGCAGCCACCTCGTGCCCTGCACACCTGCAGCCCTGCCGAGGCCTGGGACCCCATCAGGAGGGCCAGCACCCTCCCTGCACCCCCACTGCCCAGCCCAGGGCCGCTGAGGTGACGCCGAAAGGCCCTGCCCCAGGTGCACGGGGCTGGAGGCTGGCGTGGGCCTGGAGCCCAGTGCTCGCTGGAGAGCCCCAGGTGAATTCTGCCCGGGGTGGCCCAGGGAGGGGTGTCAGCCATTCCTGCTGGGCCCAGTCCCCAGGGCCTTCTCCCCACAGCCATGGCGCCTGCAGAGCATAGGCGACTGCGCGCAGTTGGTGCTTTCCCGGGCCAGCCCGCTGCTGCCCTGCAGATTGATGAGCTCAAAGATGGTTGGGCGATCGGCCTTGCTCCGCCTCCTCATTCGTCCAGCACTGCACGGTGCAGGGCAGAGAGAACTGCTGCTTCTTTTCCCTCCTGACGCCCCGGCCACCCAGCCCCACCTGTCCAGCCCAGACTGCCCCTCGGGGCCTCACCGCTCCAGCTCCCCGTGCCCTTGGCCTGCTGCTCTGGGGCTCCTGCAGTGCCCTCTCGGGTCCCCGGTGGAGCCCTGGCTGCTGTGCCACTGGGCTGATTCCCCCACTAGTTGAGGGCATGTTTATCCCAGGCCCCACCCCCAGTCCAGAGCCTGGCTCGGAAGCCCTTGATGGGTAGAGAGGGAAGGTTCCAGAGCCGGCCGAGGGCACACTCTGTTCTTCTCTTCCCCCCAGGCCTTGGCTGGCTTGGGCTGCCAGATTCTCTTCCTCTGGATTTCGGGGCTCGTCTGGCCACAGGCTTTAGTGACGCCTGTCTCCTACCGCCCCCTAGTGGTGCTCAGGCTCACAGCCCTAATAGGTGTGGTCAGGACCTGCTTTACCAGGCGCCCTGAGCTGTCAGAGGGAGGAATGCATCTGGTTTATTTTTGTGGACAGCGCCCAAAAGAGAAGAGATGCTTGGTAAACATGTAAACTGATGAACCAGTGACTCAGGAATCTGAGAACTGCCTTAACTGTGCAGCTGGAGAGGCTGTCCCCAGCCACTGTGCAGCCTTGTGGTGAAACTCACCATGCACCAGCCCTGAGCCACCCTGTTCCAGGTGCTTATCACACAGTGGTTAAAACACCACAGCCCAGAAAGGCAGGAGCTGAGATCTTCACTGGGACAGGTGGGGAGGCTAGGGAATGTGGAGGAACTTGCCCAAGGCCGGGGAGGCCCCAGAGTCTGTGCTCTTAACTAGTCACCTTGCATCTGCTCCACCCCATAACAAGGACAGCAGCAGAAGCAGCCATAGCACCAGTGATACATTCGCCCTATTATTTACTTTTCTTACAATTTCATTTCATTTATTACCTATGTTTACTATTTATATATGAAATGTTATATATACATGTGTATGTGTATATAGATTCTTTCACAGTATTTCAGGCCAAGTTCTAAGCGCCTAAGCACTGATCTATTAACTTAGTCTTCCAAACTCTTTATGATTTTAGGCAGTACCATTATCCCCATTTTACAAATGAGGACACTGAGGTAAGGAGGGCTTAAGTCACTTGCACAAGGTCACCTGGTTAGTAAGGGATGCAGCTATGGGTCAAACCCTGCAGTCTAGTGCCAGAATCTGCAAACTTCAATATGCAAGAACTAGACCTTTGGCCAGTGACTTGGGCCCAGCTCCCTGGCCTGAGGGCACGCCCACCCACGGAGCCCAAAGCAACACCAGAGCAGGCTTTCTTGGCTGTCCTGAGGTCAAACCAAGGAGGAAGGACGTTCCGTTGATCTCCTGCCAACCGCTGCCAGCCTGTATCACTTTTGGAAAGTTGCTTGGTCTCTCTGTTCCCTGATTTTTCCTTCAGGGCAGTGAAGCAAGATGGAAGCACTCTTGCGGGGCGTTATGACAGACTCTGGGGTGTTCATTAGCCAAGAGTTTGGCATCTTTGCCTGGAGGGTCAAGGGTGCCCCGATTCCTCTCACCTCCCTGCAGGAGGATGTGCTGGAGGGCAGAAGACCTTCATCCCAAGGCCACTTCCTAGGCTGGTTCTGCAGGTCCCTCCTGACCGTCCTGCTGTCCTGTGGCCGGGCTGGGACACGATGCCTGATGACCCCTGCTTGCAACGCCTTTCTGTCTTTTCTGGCCTAGGTGTGGAAAAGGGAAACTGGAAGATGGGGATGGCATCAACCTGAATGACATTGAGAAGGTCCTCCCGACCTGGCAGGTAGGTGCAGGGGCAGGGTCTCTAGCCCAGCCTCTCAGTCCTGCTGTCCGCCTGGGCGGGGGTCTTGCTTCAGCAAGGGGTGAGCTGCATGTGCAGCAGGGGCCGGGGGGCAGGGGCAGGTGCTCGCCGTGGACCAGGGTGTCCAATGGGACAGCGTATGTGACAGCATGCTCTTGGTGATGCCGTGGGCAGCCTGCTGGGTGGCAGGCTTGATGTCCTCTAGTTGAAATGGGCCCTGTGCCGGCAACTCAGCCAACTTGGAAGTTTGGCCGCCTTGACCTGAGGCCTCCGAGGGCGGGCACCTGCAGGGTGTTCAGGTGTGCTGCTGGGCCTCAGTGGGCCCGGGCTATCTTTAGGCTTCTGAAGAGTGGAGCTGTCCACTGTGAAGAGTCCAGCTGTCTGCTGTGCTTGCTCATTTTGTCATCGGTTGGGCTCCTTTCCCAGAATGGGGCCAGGCTCTGGGACAAAGAGGGTTGGCTCAGCAGTGGGGCGGTAACCAGGTCTTCAGCTCCCGAGTGCTGGACTTTGAGCAGAAATAGCTGCTCCCAGGTATGGGGTGGGCCTGCTGCAGGGCAGTTAGAGTAGTAGACCCTCTGAAGGGACAGCCTGCCACTCCTGGTGACCTGCCACCAACCTCCAAGGTGTCGTCACCCTGCCCTGCTCGCTCCTGAACTTTGATGCTGTCCTACCCGTGCCCATTTGCTCTTCCTGTCCCTGTCCCCTTTCCTGTCTCTGCTCAAGCCTGGGCCCTGGCAGTGAGTCACCCTTGAGGCCGTGCTTCACTCCTGAGGGGCCTGGTGTGGGCTCTGCTCTTTTCATCCCCTCTTGGGGGTTTATTGATTTTTTTTTTTTTAAAGACCTGGAGGCTTGTAGTTCTGTTGAATTTGGAAGTTCTTCATCCATCACTGCTCCTCCGTCCCCAGCCTGGGGCTCCGACTGTGTGTCCGCCCTGCTTCTTCCTGTCTTCTTGGTGTCACCAAAGCTCGGGTTATTTCTGGTACTTTAATTGTGGATAGTTCCTCTGGCTGAGTCTTCAAGTTCACGCGTCTTTTCTTTTGGTGTCCAATCTACTGTTGACCCCATCCAACGTGCTGCTCACTTTAGATCCTTATTTTTCATCTCTGGACGGTCCCCACAGACCTTTTCTCATCCCTTCCGTTTCTCATGGCTTGTCCTGTCTTTGGTGAGCACCGGGGACCCATGTCTCACAGCTGCTGTAATGTCCTTCTCTGCTCATTCTATCATCTGTGTCATTTCAGTCGGTTTCTATTAATTGATTTTTTTTCCCCTCCTGGTTGGGGAGCATAGTTTTCTTTGAAGGTCTGATAATTTTATATGAGATGCCAGATCTTAGGAGCTTAACCTTGTTGGGTATTAAGTTTGGTAGTTTGTGGGTTGGTTGGTAGTCCTTTAAATATTCGGGGCTTTATTCTGGAACAGTTAAGTTACTCCGATGCAGTCTGATCCTCTTAGGACTTACTTTTAAGCTGGTCAGGGAAGAAAGACTAGTTTAGGGCCAACTTTGCACCACTGCAGAGTCAAAGGGCCCTTCTGAGATGGCTGCCTGATGCCCTGTGGCTTAGGGGGTGTTTTTTGCCCTGACTGGAGGAGCACAGACTGGTTCCATTTCTTTGGGCCTTGGAAGCATACACACGCACAAATTTATACTCAGCCGAAGACTCGAGGGCCTGCATCTTCTGGATTTCTCCTTCTGTACGGCTCTCTCTTCTCTGGTACTCTGCCTTGGAAATTCTAGTTCCTTGGGCTCCCTGGAGTGCAGTGAGACCACCAGGTCTGCTTGGACCCCTGTCCCTGCATAGCGAACGCTAGACTCTCTTTGTACAGTGGACTGGGTCACACACAGTGGTCACCTCAATACAAAGGACATGTGGTGACCTTGTGGTGGAGAGACCTGGAGGCTCCCACTTGGCCAGGTGGTCAGGGTTAACACTTTCAGTGGTGGGATTGGTGGGTGCCTGTGCTCTGAGGCACTGCACTGAGAAAACACAACATCGTTTCTGAGACTTTTCTTCCAAGAAGGCACAGCCTGGGTGTGCTCCTGAGGAAACAGGGCTCTAAGGCTGCCTGGACGTGAAGGGCAGGACAAGGCTGAGGAAGTCTTCGCGGCCGTGGGAGCCTGGAGAGACGGATGACTAAATGCATCGCGTGCCCCTTGCTGAAGTCCTGGACAGAGGGGGGAGCCGAGATTGTGCTGGGACAGAGGACGGGAATGGGGTCTGTGAGCCGGAGGGTGGTTTCACTTGCAGGACAGTCTCCTGACCTAGTGGCTGTGTGACGATCGTGTAGGCAAGTGTCCTTGTTTTTGAGAAATACGTGCTAGAATCTTTGAAGGGTCGGGGCCTCATTTCTGCAGTTGGTCCTCAGATGCTTTAGAAAAAGGTCACAGGGTGGTGTGTAGATGCAGGGAGGCAGCGAGCAGCACACCTGGTGAGGCATTAGCAGGGAACGCAGGGAGATTCCCGTACTTTCCTGTGCATTTGGGGAGGGGACAGCAACAGCATGGTGTGTGAGTGAGGGCGGCGTCAGCACAGGGTCTAGATTAATCGTCACTGCTAACGTAAAGCAGCCATGGCTCTAAGGGTGACAGGGCCAAATGCTCCAAGTGACCACTTTCTCACTCCTGCCCTAAATGCCTGCAGCACTTGTTACTGATAGGACACATAAATTTGGAAAAGCACGTCTAGGTGAAGAACCAGGTGCCTTCTGCCCCAGGGGGTTGTGCAGGTGGCCTCTGAGCCAGAGGCCTGGGAGCATCAGGGCCAGAAGAGAAACAGGTCTGACCACCTGCTCCTGTTGGGTGACTGTGTCCTGCCCCTCCAGGAAGCAGACTAGAGGGCAGAAGGGAAAGGAGAGCTGGCCACTGGCCAGGCGAGAAGCAGCGAGGTGCAGGCCACACACTGAGTCCTTGACCCAGATGAAATGTGGCCACCAACGACCAGTCAGGGAGTCTTGGGCTCATTCCTCATCTTTATTCTGCCTCCGCTTCCTCCTGTGTAAGACGAGATGATAACCTTGCTACTCCATCAGATGACTGGGAAGGCCAAGCTCGAGATTCACACGATGCCCCTCATCAATGCATGCATATAATAGGCACCTGCTGTTGTTATTCTCAGGACTCAGCACTGTGAAGCAAGCCCCCACCTCTGTGGGGCCCTCTTTGTTAGGAGGTGGGAGGAGGGAGCAATTCTCACCCCCACCCCCCTCCCTGTGGATGTTTCTGGTGAAGAGGGGCATTTCTGCTAGGGGCAGGTTGGATAATGAACCACGCAGTTGCCACACACAGCCACCAAGGCCACGTGTGACATCCAAGGCAGCTCAGAGAAGTTGGACCAGGGCCCAGGGAATCAGACTCCCAGGTGGGCCTTGGTCTACTCCTCCAGAAGATGCAGTTGGGCCGGATCAGGGTCTGGAGGCCGTGGTGGCTGTGATGGGGAGTGGGGGGGAGTCTGGAGGGCCCCCTTCCGGCTCACAAAAACCAGGAGTCCGCGAGTGCTTTCACTTGCAGAGATGGTTCTTCTGCTAAATCGATTTTGAAAATTATTAGCTGGAGGTCTCCCTGAGCCTCCATATTCTGGGGTTTTTTCTTCATTCAAGGAGCAGTAAATCAGCAAGCACCCTTGGTGCTCCAGGGCCCATGCGTGATGCTCAGCTCTTGAGGCTGCTGGGAGAGGAGGTCATTGTCCTCGTCTCCGTCTTCAGTCTGTAGCACAGAGTGGAAGGGCTTTGACCTTCACACACGCACAACCCAACACGCACACACCATAGACACGCCTCATACCACACACAGGCACACATATGCACACACATACACAACCACACACGGACACGCATATTGGATGTATACCACATGCTATATGTACACATACATGTGTACCACACACACAACATCACACACACACACACAGAGGCACACACACACCAAGGATTTTCATGAAACGTTCAGAAAAACATCAGCAGACAGGTCCCTACAGCTGTGGCACTGGGCTGAGGCCACCGGGATTTCCTGGGAAGCTTTGAGGCCCTCTGCTGCCTGGGATTCACCGGGGACCCACTGCACTCGTCGTCTCTTGCTGCATAACAAATTGCTCAAAACTTGGTTGCTTTATTATTTGGGGAGCAGCTCAGCTGGTGGTCCTGGGCCAGGGTCCCTCCCTTGCGAGGCTGATGGCCAAGGCTGTGGTCATCAGAAGGCTTGCCTGGGCTGGAGGTTCCCTCCCGTGGTGGCTGTGTCCTGTGCTGAGGCCTGGAGGCCTGTTTCTTGCCACAGGGGCCTCGTAGCAGAGCAGCTGCTTTCCCCAGAGCACAGGATGGGAGAGAAGGGGTGAGGGAGCGAGCGTCCGCCCAGAAGGGAAGGCCTCTTCCCAGAGGTGGTGTTCGCCAGGCACAGGCGTGGTGGCATGGGCAGGTCCACCCCGAGGCGTGCACACCTGGAAGCCAGGATCCCTGGGGCCAGCCTAGAGGCTGGTGGCCACGCCCACTGGATCATACCCAGAAATCTGTATCTTTAAAGCATTATGGGAAATTCCAACTAAGCAGGAGTTGCCAACTGACCCTGCTCATGGCTGGACCACCCCTTGGGGGCGTTGGCATTTCATGTGGGCCCCACTAGGATGAAGGTGACAGATCTCTCCATCCCAAAACACAGCTCTCTGAGCAAAATTTCAGGTTCTAGAAAAGCACGTTGGGATGGCCTTTCTGAGTGTCCCCCAGCCCTTCTGTAGGAGTCCTGGGCCTGGGCAGGGATGAGCAAGCTCCTGAGTCTCTCCCAGGCAGAAGTCAGGGTTTGCTCCCCCACCTTCTACCTGGAGGCAAGAAGGAAAGAGGAGACGGAGTGGTGTGACCTGCGCTCACTGCCCACCCGCCCTCCACTTCCTCCCCTCAGAGGAAGAGAGCCACGAGAGTCTGTCCTTCAGCTCTGTCCATCCCTGTTCTGTCCCCCAAATCTCCTGACCCCATAGAGTCCCAGACCCCCACCTCTG